AAAAAAAAAAAAAATCCATCTGCCAACGCAGGGGACATGAGTTCAAGCCCTGGTCCAGGAAGATCGCACATGCCGCGGAGCAATTAAGCCCATGCGCCACAACTACTGAGCCTGCAAGCCACACTACTGAAGCCCACTTGCCTAGAGCCTGTGCTCTTCCACAAGAGAAGCCACTGCAATGAGAAGCCTGCGCACCTCAACAAAGAGCAGCCCCCGCTCGCTGCAACTAGAGAAAGCCTGTGTGCAGCAACAAAGACCCAATATAGCCATAAATAAATAAATAAATAAATAAATAAATAAATAAATAACATTTTTTAAAAAGCAAGAAAATGGGGATGTTATCACAGACCTTACAGAGATTTAAAATAAGATTATAAGAGAATATATGAACAATTGTATGGCAACAAATTAGATAACATAGATAAAATGGGTAAATTCCTAGAAAAAAACTACTGAAATTGACTAAAGGAAGAAAATCGGAATAGACCTATAACAGGTAGAGACTGAATCAGTAGTCAAAAAACTTCCAGTAAGAAAAAACAGAAAAATACTCATGTAAAAAATCCTCAAAAGAAAATACTAGTAAACTGAATATAACAACACATTAAAAGGATTATACACCATGACCAACTGGGATTTATCCCTGGAATGCAAAGATAGCTTAAGATATGAAAGTCAATCAATAAAATAAAAATAGAACTACCTTATGATCCAGCAATCCCACTTCTGGGTATGTATCCAAAGGAAATGAAAATAGGATAGCAAACAAGTATCTGTACTCCCATGTTCATTGAAGCATTATTCATAATAGCGAAGATATGGAAACCATGTAAGTGTCCATCAATGAATGAACAGATAAAGAAGATAGACAGATAGATATGGACAGAGAGAGAGAGAGAGAGCCACACAGAGAAAGACAATACTGCATGGAATCACTTATATGTGGAATCTTTAAAAAGTCAAACTCAAAGAATCAGAGAAGTAGGGTGTTGCCAGAGGCAAGGGGCCAGGGTGGGGGGCTGTGGAGAGAATAGG